GCCTACCTCATCTGGCAGCATCTCCAGCACATCTGGGACCTGTGCTACATGTGACACATCCCAAAGCAGCTGGGCCAGGTAATGTGCATGGTGTAGTCCAGTTGGAGTGGCACTGTGCTCCATGTGGTGAACCCTCCTCCAGGTAGTGCAGGTTCCAGACTTGCTGGAGCAACCATCAAATCAGCTATGCTGGAAAAAGGGGTTCACACACCCAATCCAGCCTGCAAACCTGCCCCATGCCACTCATCTAGCCCACCGGGTCAGATGACTTTAACACCCATAATCTATTTTAACTACTTTTTCATTTAAGCTGGGAGAAATGCTACAGAAGTTTTAAAGAGTGCTTTAGAAATTTATGTCTATGCTGAATTAATTCAGTCATTAGGGCTTACTGCCAAGGAAGAGTATGCAATTGGTTAAACTCAATTAAGTCTAAACAGTGCAAAGTTTCACGCCTTATTGAAATGGATATTAATGTTACTATGATCCATTTGCCCCACCATCTTCTGTCTCTTCCTGCATGTTAGTCCTACTTTTTCTCTGATATCTTTAAGAAAGTAGATATCATGCAAGAAAAAAATCTGCATCATATTGAGGACTTGGTGGGCAGGCATGGCATAAAATAAATAGTGAGCTTGATTGATTTTTGCAGCCAAAAAAGGTGCAGCTTAGTATTATAAAATTAAAATCTTATTTATGCGAAGCTGCAACAGAAATGTCTGTCTCAGATCTGGGCTGTATGCTGTGAACTATGTGAGGCTCCTATTAGAAGTACCTGTATCTATGTTTAATTTATAGTTTGAATTAAGTAGAATTAGCTTTTATTACTCACAGTATAACCAAACCAGGATTTAGTAGGGTCTTTGCTTCCTGAGAAACAGTGAAGGGTCTAAAAAATGGACAACTCTGAAGCAACAGCAAAATAAGGTCAGCACAGAAGAATACAGAGTTTGGTGACAGTCTTGTAAAACGTTACCTGTGCATCACAGCACAGATGTTTTCCATGAGCAGCCAAAGAAGGTCAACTCACAACATAAACTGTACTGCTGCCACCTCACTAACACAAACATTTTTACATGCAAATATGCTGAGAATTTATGCACAGCTGGGTCAAAGCAGGTATGCAACATGCTTGGCCCCAGCCCATGATGTCATAGTATTGCAGAACAAGAACGCAGCAGATTAAATCCTTGTCAAATTCCAAATTCTAAGGTAAATAGGTTCTTGGTTGAAGTAGGAAGCCATTATTTCCATGTAATCAGACCATAACTGCACTTGAGAGAAACTTGGCTCGACCTACTGATATGATAAAAGGTTCTGCCTGAATATTACAATTCCCATTTCATCATAATAAGATTTTGCTGTCCGGGGAAAGCTGTCCAAAACCTGAGAACTGCATTTATTTTCCCATCTCTGAAACTTGTTTAGTAGTTCATCTTGGATTGTTTCTAGTCACAAAGATGCAAGTAAACTTGCTGACTTTCCATCCACCTTAAACAACTGATTCTTAGGGAATGCAAATTCATTGCCTGCTCTGTGAGATCAACTGTTTTGACTCCTCAAAGGACTGCAAGTTGATAGAACCATGGGAAGGGCAGAATGATCTGACTCCTTCATCAGCAACACAATTAAGTTTGGTTCACTTTTGCAGAAGCTGTAGCTACAGAGTGGATGTTGAATTATTCATCTGCATATGGTCTGATGCCTGGTAGATGGTATTTTAGGGCAAATAAAATTACATATTTGTGAATAATTAATTTTTCAGCTGAACAGATGGTTGGCTGTTTGGTGTATAGTTTATTCAGTGAAATGTATCCACCAGTCAAATAAAATGTTTGTGTAGATACAATTTTTTTTCATCATTCAGTTGGTTCCCTAACCCTGATGCTCCTAGCCAACC